AAAAAAAAAAATTGAAAAGGGGAGTTTGGTTATTGTTCGAGTTGCGTCGCAATATACCGTACCCCCTTGGCTGTTAGCGGCCGCGCTGTTTAACTTACCGTAATCTGATCATTGCTACATTGTTTATTGCTGTTTTAAGCAAACCATAAAAAGCACAAAAGCTTTTCTGAAATAATTAAATTACCGGAGGTGTAAATTGTCAAATAAAACACCAAAAATGCCAGGATCATCCAGACTATTGGTATGGATATTCCATGTTAGTGATGCTATAAGAGATGGTTGATCCCTTGTTTCTAGCCGTTTGCAAGAGTTTTTGAAGCTCTGAACCGGAAGCTCTTCTTAAATTATTGCAGGTAAAAATTTGGTTCCAAAATAGGCGGTCGAAGCAAAAAAAGATGTCGAAAAATGGGACCAACAACCCGAATCGACAAGGCGGTGGTATAAGCGACGACGAGGAGATGGAGGACAACAGCCCAGCTAACGAAGTTCCAGCTTCGTCGGCGCCACAACAACCACAGCAGCAACCGCCACAGCAGCCACCGCAACCGCAGCAGCAACCGCAGCAGCAACGACAGCAGCAGCAACTACAGCAGCAGAATGCTACCTCACCGGTGCTGGATCATACCGGGTGGCCCGCACTACAGCTCGGTGGTGCCCATCCCGGTATGCCTGGTGGAGCGTTACCCTCTATGGTACCGCTACAGCAGCAGCAGCAGCAACCGGCTGGGATGCCATCTTTTGAGAAGTACTGTGAGCAGTCAGAAATGAAGGCTTACATGTACGACCCGATGGCTGGCTACCAGTGGCAACAACCAGGTGCTGCTTATATGCAACCACCAAATTACTACAGCAGCATATGAAGGTGGGCTTCAGGCTGCTGTTTGTTTTTGATTTTTGGATATGGAACTCAGGTTTCATTTCGAATGTTTAGTTTTGAGGGGAAGACCAAAGTAGAACTCGCTGAGGTTAGAAATTAAGCATAATTGAAGGTAAATTTTCGGGAGGAAGAAGAGCAAATTCGAAAGAAATAGATTTTGCAAATTAAGTGAGCGAGAAATCTTACTAAACATTCGAAATGAAACCTTTATGAAATGATTATTCGATATTATTTATTTGAGAAAAGCAAATTTCGAGGGTTCAATTCCTCACTGGCTCAAAGATTTTTGGCTAGAATTTCAAATTTTTTCCTCGTATAAAAAAATTTTCTTAAAAATAACGAGGAGGTATTTAAAGGATTAATGTCTAGGAAATGATAGCTTATTTTGGATTATTTTGTATGATTTTCTATAATGTTTTCTTGTACATGTTGTTGTAGTTTTTGGTTGTTTCGATCCGTTGTTTGCTTAAAATCTATGGGGCATCTTGATGTTAAAAATTCAGAGAATTTCGTAATAAAAGTTAGCCCAAATGTTGGGAAAAAAAAGGAGAAAGTATCTAAACAGCTAAGTGCTAGAAGAAAGTCGTCCAGACAGTCAAGAATCAAGGAGTTTCATGAAATTAGGGACTATCATTGTTTTCTCGTAGTGAAAATCAAAATTTATTACACAAATGAAAAAGAATTAGCTTAAGCCAGAAGGACTCATTTCCATGGCAGATTTCTACTGACCAGCGGAAACACTTTTCACCTTGTTTCTAAGTAACCTTCGGAAGAAACAACCTTTCTAGCAGTTGTATGGCTGTTGCTGAATCGCAGTTACTACGGGCTATTTCCGAGTGCCTCTGCCTTTCACAGAAAGAGGTATATGGAAGAGTTTTAACTCTTGTTTTTACTTGTGCGTCTTATTCGGTTTGCACATAGCGTGTTTGTATCTCTCAAAATTACTGATTTTACCTCCCCTTAATTTTATTTAAGAAAGTAATAATAAAAATAAAAAAATACAATCGTGCCATTGAAAAAGTCCAATTGTAATAAAATTTTGAGAAAAATTTACAGCGTTTTTCCAGAATGAGACTTCCCCGTAAAATTCCGATATATATTTCTGAAGATATGTGCTAAGACTCATCTTTCGGGTGCTTTTCTTGTACTTTAAGCTTGGCTTACGCTGAGAAAGCAAAACACATTCGTATATGTATTAGACCATACAGCTAAGGATATAAAATCGCGGCGTGTTACGCTAACGTATGGACAAGCGATGTTAAGCAAAAATTGTGGATCGTAAGAGGATGGGCAAAGGAAGTGTGAGGATAAGTGAAAAACAAATAAGTATACCGAAGGATAAACGGATACGTGAACGGATCAACATTCGGATTTGAGACATGAAAAAGAGGAAAAGAGAGGAAGGCGGTGGGAATGAAGGAGGAAAAGACCGTGGGTAAGAAGGAATAGCTTTGAGGCGAAGATCGTCCAGTACGCAGATAAGTCTAGTTTATAGATGTGATAAGCTGATCTAGGGACAAGATAACCTAGTTCCACAGATATGGTCACTAACTGCAAAAACGGCGTTTTGGCATATAATGCTGAACAGGATACGGCTTCTATACTTGACACTGTTACTTCTATACTTCTATAGTTCTACTGGACACTGTTAAATCAAGCTTTCTCTTTGGGGCCTGAATTAGCATTCTTAACATGTACATTTTTCTGCACATTTTCTCAAAATCTATTGTCTTCTTA